GGCTGCTGGGAAGCAGCGGCCTGCCGGGCCCTCGGAGGGCCTGTCATCGGTCGGTCTGTCGGGCTTTTAGCGGTGCGGAGCGGGCCGGGGCAGGCCCAGAGTGTGGTAGCTGTGCCGCTGGTTGAGCGGGTGGTGCTGCTGCTTCGTGTCAGTCCTCTGGGGAGTTTCAGCTCCTCGAGTTTTGTTTCTAAATGTTCTTGTGTCTTGACCGTTTGTTCGTTTGTTTTTTCTCCTGGAAGTAAGGTGCAAAAGATCATCCTGAGTAATTGTTTTAAAAAACCTTAAAGCCATGAAAGTAAAACATACAGAAATTTCCATAAGAATTAATTGGCTTGGTTGGTTTGTTCCTGGATTTTGAGGGTGTGCTCTTAGAGGCTGTCTTATTTCGAATTGCTTTTTATTTATCGGTTTACTTATGAAAATCATTTTGTGTATTAAGTATGATAATAAAGAGATGCTACGCTATGCTACTGAAGATAACATAGCTTCTTTTTGTTTTGTTTTGTTTTTTCAATGGGAAGAGAGAACCGTCTTTTTTGTTTAAAACAATAAGCCTGGATAAAATAATAGCTGGTGATTGCCTGCATACATAGGTTTCATTCAAGTCCTTACAAGTGCTTTGAAGGAAGTAAAAATGTTTTTCTTTCTCTGTAGGGTGTCTAAACAGAAGTGAACTGATACCTCTGCTACTTTTAATTCCAAACAAGATGAAGATCTCCTTTCTGCTGCTCAGATTCCCTCGTTGTTATTTCTCTAGAAGAACTTACTTCACGAACTTTCACTTCACTTCCAGAACAGGTTTCCTGTGCACTGAAGCACTTATGCCAGTGCATCACCATCATGCAAAATGGATATGTTCATCGAACGGTTGGAGGAGAGAGCTGTGTCAACAAATGGCCCCTGATCAACAAATAGAGGGACTCTCTGACAGAGAACAAAGACTGGTAGACAGACTTTACAGTGGACTAATCCAGGGTCATAGAGCCTGTTTGGCAGAAGCCATTACACTTGTAGAATCAACTCAGAGTAGGAAGAAGAAAGTAGCCCAAGTGCTCCTTCAGAAGGTATTATCCTACCACAGGGAACAAGAAAAGTTAAATCAAGGAAAGCCACTTGCCTTTAGAGTTGGTTAGTCCTTTTATGTCTGTCCAGTAGTTGCTTTGACAGCGTTACAGTCCTCACCTTTCATTATCACTGTTGTTCTTTAAGGATCATGGTCTGTAGTCTTGGATCATGGGTTTCTCGTGGTTTGTAGCCAATCTAGATCACTTTTGTTGTGTAGTAGAATTATAGCTTGAGCTGGAAAATGCTTTTGAAAAAGTGCTCTAGAAATAATTGTCGCTTCTTGAGGGGAGGGACAGTTATTTGGTTGTTTATTTTAATAACTATTATAAGGTTAAATATTAGGTAGTTTGCAAATTGATATAGCTATTATCTACACTTAGATAGGAAAGGACATAGTTAAGCAGACCTGTTCTTTTCCCAGAGAAGGTGTTTTCTTGAATGCATCCTGAATTCCTTCATTAATCCACAGAAGGGAAAAGTATGTACCTTCCTGTTTTATGGCTTTACTGTAAAGCAGTCTACTTTTCAGCTGAGGAGACTTGAACCTGGTTATATTGGAAACTATAAAATATTTGTCCCTTGTGAAGAGATGGACTACTCAAGTATGTCATGTCCAGCTGTTGTCTCTCATATGTGTGTGCAAAGGTAGTAAGAACAAGAACTCGGGCATGGGAGTGAGAAATATTTGGTGGAGGTTAACAAGCTAATCTTAGTTTGCATGCTTTGACATGTAAGTAAATCACCCAATTTATTTTTTAAATAACAGCTCTTCAGGGTAGAAGAGGTCGCTTTTAGAATGAGTCTTTGATAAACAGTAAATCTGAAAATACAGATTTAGGATATGACATTTTTAAAGTTCTGAAATGTAAGTCAGTATAGACAAATTTACGTGTAGGAGAGGATATGAGGCTGGATAAACCCAATGTTATGTTGGCAGGTGTAGGATGAGGGGCGGTGAAGCAAGCGCTGCTGTGCTGGGTGAGCCAAAGTAGTGCATTTCAGGTCAGTGACAACTGCTTAGTTGGGTATATCAGTTGTGGCATAGCTTTCATTTGCCCTTGTTGTGGTATTGTGCTAAAGTGTGAATCGTTATCAGCTCAGGCCTTGATAGTGTTCATGTGATGTATTATTTGTTTAATTAACAAAACGTTCTTTTCTTCCTAATATAATTATTTAGGGTTGTCTGGTCCTCCTGGTGCTGGGAAATCCACTTTCATAGAATGCTTTGGGAAAATGCTTACAGAAAGAAAATACAAAGTGTCTGTGTTGGCTGTAGACCCTTCCTCAAGTACAAGTGGTGGTGAGTGTGAATCAAGGTTTGAGTCACGTTTCTAATACCTTGTCAACTATAGGAACATCTCTTTGGGCCAAATGGAGGAAAATTTGGGGGCCTATGAAAGTAAAATATTAAAAGTAAATGATGTATTACGTTTGTGTTTTTTTTTTTTCCCCATGTTCTATGAAATTGGGAAATATGCATTAGTGTTCTAATTCTGTCAGGTTTCCTCTTTTCCAGTGTTTGAATGTTCCTTTACAACTTTTTTGTCTGAAACTTTAGATAGCTGTGTTTTTTTCTCTCTAGTTGTATTTATTTAGTAATTTCCTTGTGAATGAAGACGTAGAAGGGTATTCATTTCTGCTTCAGTTTCAACAGTGGCAATGCTGATCGCTGGGCGGGAAGCATATGCTAATTTAAACCTATTTAGAGGGTGCTGCAATCTGAACATGTAGATCAGGTTGGATTTTAGAATGTTCGTTAGTTCTTCTCATAGGAATTTTGGATTTCTCTTGACGATACTGGTTTCAAGGTCTCCTGGTGCAGTATCATTGACTGTCTGACTTGTAGCATCGTTTTTATTTTTTTTCTCTAAATTTGAAATTCTTCAAAGTTGTGTGGCTGCAATCTGTCGCTCTCAAATCAAAAATTGTAGGAAAATTGTAGGCCAACCGTGCTTGATTAATGGTATCTCTGTCATAAATAGTAGAACCTTGATTTTGATCTCCTCCTAAAGGGCAGCTGCCAGGGAACATCATTCCTTTTTCCAGCTTCTACACTGTCAGAGAAGATGTTGCAATATGTAACTATTTAAAAAGAAAAAAAAAAACTTCAGTAATGCTGTGACCTGGAGACTGTATTCTTGAATGCATGCATTCAACATGCATCAACAGAATAGCAAAATATGATAGCAAGACTGCATCTGTTAAAAGCAGTGAGCATCTCTCATCTCTTGGAATGTGCAGCATGTGTATGGATCTCACTGAATCCAGTTTAAAGTTTGTATGAGTAGGAGAAAGGCAGGGATGCATGTCAGCTTTCTTAAAAACAAAACAGAAAATCCACCATCGACAAATATCAGAACCATAAGACAGAGATTTGTCCCTTTGGACAGGCACAGCAAAGGTTTAATTGTGTGGCCTGCTGTGTATAGGCCTCAAAAAGCCGCTCAGGAATTGCAGAATTCGTTCTGACCTAGAATGAATTCTTCGTATTTGGTGGCAACGAGGTCTGCTTGTCAGGCCTTTCCAGCTTCTGATAGGCAGAAGAACCAGGCAGTAACTTCCTAGTTCTCAGCAAAGTCTTGAGCAACTAGTACTTGGATAGTCTTATTTGCCTGACTTTGTCCAAGAAATCTGTCTTTTCCCACTCATTTTCGGGGCGGGAGGGGGAGGGGGAAGGGAGGGAGAAGTTTATCTCTTTTGCACTTTTGAAATAATTTAACGTTAAACGTTTAAGGTTCTCTGTTGGGCGATAAAACACGGATGACTGAGTTGTCAAGAGACATGAATGCATACATCAGACCATCTCCAACTAGAGGAACACTGGGAGGTGTAACGAGGACCACAAATGAAGCCATTCTGCTGTGTGAAGGCGGAGGCTACGATGTTGTTCTTGTGGAAACAGTAGGTGTGTGTTTAGGGTTTTCTTTTAATTATCCTAGAGCGATACCTAAATAAGGTGTGCTACTAATTACATGCTGTCATCCTTGATTTTGCTCATGCTTTCACATGGTCACTGGTTGAAAAATGAATGCCCATTCTGTCAATTGTCTAGTCCTGTACGTTTTGTAAAAACTGTTGTGCTTCCTGTTCTTTTGTTCGTTAGTGGGATTTGTTGACGGTGCAACACTGGCATCTGCCATAATTACTGAAAGTTTGCAAAAAATGGTGAACTCTGGTTTTGTTTTTTTCAGGTGTGGGACAGTCAGAATTTGCTGTGGCTGATATGGTTGATATGTTTATATTACTGCTACCGCCTGCGGGTGGAGATGAATTACAGGTATTTTTTAGTTTCTCTTAGTAAGTATTGCTTAGGGCTAGAAAGAGAAAATTAAATCCAAGAATGTAATATCTGTCTGTGCAGAAAGTCTCTATCAAGAGTGTTTTGTAAATTACACTGCTACTACTAAAGTCTTTTCAGTGTCCGAGCAATTTATTGCACAGGTAGGATCTGATATCCCTTTCTCCTAGTTTTGGAAATATTAGACCGTAAATTTTTTATACTCTCCGACTGACTTTGGCCTGTTTACTAGTTATATATGATTTTGGGGAGTGGATTTGTATTGCAGGAAAACAGAAATCAATATCAAATTGGTCATGTTTTGGTTAAACTTAAGTCTCTCTACACATGAAATAGGTTATCCTGTAAACTCTGATACCCGTATTTAGTTTTCTCATGTGAAAGTAGAGTAATAACTAGTAGTGACAGAGGCCATTGGTGCTACTCTTGAACAACTAGCACATACATACGCACGCACACGCAAGAAAGTCAGCAAGAGTTACCAGAAACTAGCAATGCATTTTGACCTGCTTTTTGTGATAAATCCTGCTGGGTTTTCATGATTTCTCTCCATGTTCCATGTAGGGTATCAAACGGGGTATAATTGAGATGGCGGATCTAGTTGCTATAAATAAAGCTGATGGTGATTTAGTTGTGCCTGCCCGGAGAATACAAGCTGAATATGTTAGTGCTATGAAGCTGCTTCGCAAGCGTTCAAAAGTTTGGAGACCAAAGGTTCGTGTACTTCACTATGGTTTGTGGGGGTGTTGAGTGGTTTTTTGTTTGTTGGTTTTTCCCCTCAGAGAAAGCACTGAATGAGTTAGGATTGTTACCATCTTATCTAGCTATATTAGTCTCCCTGGACTCTTTCATAAAAATTTCAGTTCTGTTATTTAGTTTTACAGTGTGGTAGCGAGTTGATTGCTGCTGTTTCTGTTCACCTCTGATCTCAAGGTGTTCCACCTGAAACACTGTGCAAAGCCAGTCCTGTTCCCCTTGACTTCTGTCCTAAGCTACAATCAGTGCTAGCATACCTACTACTAACATCAGTAGTGGTACAAACTTGTCTTGCTTTTTGTAAGCTATGCGTATCTTGAAATGTCTCATAAGCCATTTCTCTTTCTTTTATAACTCTGAAGCCTATGATTATTTTTGTTCTTTAACTTGTTGATGAGTTTCTTTCATCACTTTTTTTTTTGATTTCTCACAAGTTCTTGGGCAAGAACCTCATTTGCTTTTGTATGCAATGTTTAGATTATCAAAATCCTCGTCCTGTGGGCTTTTAGTTTTAATACAGTATTCCATATGTTAAAAGCTTATGGTAAATTATTAAGGAAAAGATTCAGTACTAATTTTTAACATATGTAAAATAAGCACACACACACACACTCACTCCCTTTATTTATATACGTGTATATATAAAGGAGGTTTGCTCTACTCTGGTATTAAAATTGACCTATTGATTTAAGTTTAAATCAGCTGGGCCGCTTGAGACAGCCACCATTTTGTAATTTTTGTTTCTAGATCTGATGAGAGGTCACATGTGATAAAGGTGACCCAAAAGAAATATTTGAGACCAGTGAATTAAACAGGTTATCAGAAGTGTGTCTCTCAGTGATGGCAGTGTCTGACAACTGGAAGAAAGAAAATACTGATGTGTAGGGGCCGTATCCTATCTATTAGATTGGGGAAAGAGGGAGAGACTTTTTAAAAAAAACCAAACAACTAACCTGTTCCATTTAAAAGATCATGTTGGATGTCTGAAATGTTTTTGACAAAACGAATTCCTAGTCTGGAAAGCAAATGCAAAAATTAGTCAAAATACCTCCTTCCTGGAATATTTTCAGTGCAAAAGAGTAGCTACTGGAGTATATCTACCAAATATGTAATTAACTCTACATTTAAGTAAAACCTTTTAGTTAAAGAACTCATTAAACATTATTCTCACTCATTATACAAGCAGTTGGGCAAGGCCTATTTATCCCAAATACTGTTGATCTCATAGTTGGTAGAGTCCCGATTTTGAGGTCTCACCCCCGGCCCCCGCCAAAAAAAAAAGCAGCACAAAACTGCCTAGAGCTTCATGAAGTGGGTGTATTGAAGTGAGCTTGCCTTATGCCTTTCTTAATTTTCATGCAGTCTACCTGATGCAGTAGTTGAACCCTCAAGCCCAGTAGTTACTTGACCTTAAAAATTCTTCTGAATCCAACAGGTAATGCGCATCTCTGCCAAAACTGGAGAAGGTATCTCAGATATGTGGGATAAAATGACAGAATTTCGTGACCTCATGCTCACGAGTGGTGAGTTGATTGCCAAACGACGGAAACAGCAGAAGGTGTGGATGTGGAATCTCATCCAAGAAAATATGTTGGAACATTTCCGGAGTCACTTGGCAGTCAAGGATAAGATTCCGCTTCTAGAAGAAAAAGTTCTTAGTGGTGTCTTGTCTCCTGGACTGGCAGCAGACCTCCTACTGAAAGCATTCAAAGATGGTCTCTAAGCATTATATTCTACTCTGTTCTTGTTAACTGCTTTTTGTAAACGTGAATATTAAATACAGTTTTTCTACGTGTGGATTCAAATGTTTTACTACAGCAGACATTAACAGAATACCTATCCAGTACTCTGCAAAAAAATACTGTAGGATTCTCTATGCGAAGATCATGATAAATCCAAACACTCACTCACAGATTACTACAGACTCTGCTGGAAAAAAGTACTTTTCTAAGTCTGCTATTTGTACACGCCGTAGATCTGATAGTGAAAAATGTATGCCTCTGTCAAAACGTGACTGATTTGGGGAGGGTGGGAGAGAAAGGTTTGTGATGGTTCAGAGTTTTATTCCAACGATGGGACCATCTTGGAGCAGTTGACACTGCAGTTTTCCATTCGAATACAGCATCAGCTGTTGCCAATATGGATTGCTTTTTCTTTCCTCACCTTGAGTGACCGCAAGAACATTGGACCCCCTGGCAGCACCTGACCAGTCTTAGTTTTAAATAAATTGTATGCATACAAATAGAATATAATGGTGCTTGGTCCCTGTTTGGAAGCTATAGTTAGTTATTATACACTGTACACTAGGAGAAGGGAATTTCAACCATCCCAGTTTCTAAACAGCTGTTTTAATACAAAAGCAAAATTTAGTTAGTCTTTTTTTAAATACAGACATCAGTTGGAACAAATGTCACCCATGATGTTTTAATAGCAAATGTCTTTATGCTAGAATAACTGATCTCTACTAATAATGATTTGAGGTTTTCTAATCTAAGTCTTAAGTTTTCTGAGTTCAAACAAAAGGCCCAGTTGTGTTTGTTTTGTGATTTTTTTTCCCTCTTTTGTAGAAGAGAAGACTTAAATCCAAAAGGCCTTTTTAAAAAAAAAATAAAAATAAATTGTTGCCCTTGAGAGCAAATCTGGAGGAAGCATTTTCCTAAGCTATGATCTAGAAAGCAGAGCTCATCTGGTACTTGCTAAATATGAAGGATAAGTGGAAAAATGCTGATTTTTGAAGACCTGACGGAAAAACAGTAAAATAGGAGATTTTGTGAGTCTATTGTTGCTTATAAGAATTAACTTCAAAAAAACCCAAACATTGGAAGTGATGATTTCTATAGTTTTGATTTTTCTGGAAACATACATAAAAAGTATGGTGTCTTTAATTTTTATTTTAGCTCAGTTTCACCTGTTTGGCTTCCTAAGAAGTATGTTTCACGCAATGTTTCTTGAGTCTGACTTTTTGAGACAATTCCAGGGTAGCAATTATTTAGTTTATTTAGATGCTCTTTTTTTTTTCTTCTTTATTTTCCTTACAGTAATTTTTTTCCTCTTCCTTTCCCTTGTCCCAATTGTTATGTTGTGTTCCCAACTAAGTTTACTTTTTCCTGCTGGACCTCTGTGCTTCAGAATTTTGATTCCTGCATAGGTATAATTTGGCAACTATCAGAAAAGATGAATTGTTAATGAAAACCCTGAGGATTTTGTTTCCTTTGGATTGTCAAAATGGCATGATTTAAACAATGTAGAAGAAGCCTCCATCCTTGCTGCTAGCCTTTCAGTTGTTCTTCCCAATTTATGATGGTGTCTGTATAATTGTCCATATTTTTTACATTAAACATAGGAAGCATGACCAGAAAACAAAAAACAAACTGCAAGGCAAAGTAAAAATGCTTTTGTCATTGGAAGCAATGATCCCCATGTATATTTGCAGTGAAATGCTAAAAAGAGTTTTATGGTGTTTTGTGGGATGCAGAGCTGAGGTATTGCTGTGTTAAGAAATTTTACACTGCTGTAGCTGGTTTCCACCACATAAATTGTCAGAACCTCAGTACTCTGACCCCCTTATTCTTATTCCTTAAACTTTGCATCCCAGATGAGTAATTTGGGATTGCTGCAGCAGTTACATAGAAGTAGCTGAAGGAATGTTAGGGAGTGGCAGAAGCACAGCAACGTATTTAGGATCATGCCGAGTTATGAAAAGAAATGTAGCACTTAGTTTCTTTTCTATTTAAAAACAGTCTTTATTGAGTGTGACAGAAAGTGCCCCAAACCAAAAGCACTGTCTTCTATCCTTTCAGCTTTAGAAATTAACTGTACTTTGATGGTACCTATTAGAAGAAATGACAGGTGGAAAATGAATTAATGAGAGCAGCAGCATTTTAACTGGTGAGTTCTCAACTTTTTGACTGTCTGTTTGTTTCAGGTGACAGTTTTTAAGGGGACCTCATTTGTGCTTATATGTTAGATCAGACCATTACCATTGTCATTACTTTTTCTTTTGTCAGGGCCTGCTGTTTTCCTTGTCTGATGTATGTGAGCTGTCAAGTGAGTAAAACAGAATCTGCAGCTTTGATTAAATGACAGCTGGTCAAGCAGAGTATGTTTTATGACTTCTTCAGGACTTTTTGTGGACACAGATCCAGCCATGGGCCCATGCCATGGGCCATTGTTATTTCCTCATTGCTTCTTTTAAAGTATCTTTAATTTACTAATGAACTCTTAGCAGAAGACTGTACAATGGCTTAGACAAGTTCTACTTTTCATTCAACTGCATTTTTTTCTTGAAGCAGAGTATTGAATGGAATTTAGATTTGCCTTCTTTGTGTGCTCGCTTGTGTCTTATGCTTCAGTAGACAGAGAAACACCCTTATACTGAAAATGGTCTTCAGAAGTGGCATGATAGAGAACGGTCCCTGCTTTGTTTTTCAGTGATTCCCCTACCGAGTTGAAAAGGTGTTCTCAAACTATGACCTGAGCCTCACTTGTGGGAACTAAATTCTTTGGATTTTATAACTTGTGAAATTTTGCTATGACATGTTTCAGAGTCAATTGCTGTTCAATTAATTGTGCAGTTTTGTTTATGAGGGCTGGGGGAATGCATTGTCGTCAGAAGGGCTGCATAGCTTTAGCTGGTAGGCTCCAATTTAGTAAACAATTCAGTGTTTCCCAAGGTAGGGAAGAGCACTTCCAGGTCATCATTTCTATCTCTGTGGGATTAAGTGGGGTAAAAGGCACTAAAACATTGCCAATCAAGTAAACAGGCTTCTGAAAAAAGATAGTAAACAAATCTGTTGAGTAGGATGTTAGCATATTCTTAGTTTCTAGAGTTGTTAAGTTGCTCTCATGTTAACAGTTAAAACCACAGCTACTGCAGAACAGTATGAGAAAAGAATATAACTTTATGAGAAAATAATAGCAAGATGAAGTTTGTAGCCAGAAGTATGATAAACTGTTAAACAAATGGATATGGGAGGTAAGGAAGAAACTCTTCAGATACACAAACACATGTTCTACGAGGTCTTGCAGTTGTATGTAAGTGTGAAACTTTTCCCCAGGTCCCTGTGTAATAGATGTTGCTGGTGTTTCACAGCTGGAAAAATAAGTGCAGTGAGATCAAGTGATTTACCCAGAACTCTGAAACAGGTCAGTAGAGTACAGGGGTTACAGTTCAGTGGTCTTTACTCTGAGCCCCATCTATATTTACGGCCGTGTTACTTGAGGTTGAAAAAATGCTCTTAGCAAGTTCATGCTCTTAGTGTGACTTATTCCTTTCATATCTAATCTCTCTGTTTTCAGTGACAGGGCCCAGTGACCCCTTCTTGACTGCTGTTCTGTTGTAATGTCCTGCTTTAAGTAGTAGAAAACTTTTCCTTGATATCTAATCTGCCCTCGCCTTTCGTAAATGCATTACTTCCTGTTACATATGCCTGATCAGTCTTTATGTTCTCCTCACGTATATTGTTTTTTTTATTTATGAAATCTGCAGTGTGAGGGCTGTCTGTTTGTGGGTCTTGAGATTTTTGGCGATGGGGATTGAGCAAAGCTAAACAATGCAAATTAACTATTTTTTTTTAACCTTATGCAGTTCCCTTCCTAAAGTTTTCTTTCTTAAAGTAATGTGGCAAGATTCAATTATTGACTTCCTCTGTACTCGTGTAAACATACTTATTTCCCCTGTACTTTTCCTTACTCAGAGTGCTCTATTGTTCCCTCCTTGGATGCACAGTCAAGAAGTAACATTATCCGTGGGTTAAAACAAGAAACGTTTTTACAGAGCTTAGTGTTCCTGCAGCTATTCTTGCTGGACTATTCTAAAACGCGTGTCATTTGCGGAATGATTGAACAGACTTTGCTAAATCATGTATTTAAACAAAAATCAGTGTATTCCCCTGGAACTTATGATTGGGACAATCAACAGTGCACAGGTTGACTAGCAACAGGGTTCCTCTTCTAGAAACTAGTTTCAGATACTCCATGGTTGTATTCCTTACAATTTATCCAAAAATAACCCACCCACCCCCATGTTAGAACATTAGCAAAATTTGTGGATTGAGAATAAAAATTTCATAACGAAAAACTCGTAAGCAGTTACAGTACGTATTTAGAAGTATGATAGGCATATTCTGTTCCCTGCTTCCATACCAAGGTATGATTCAGCTGGTGAACAAACAAGGAAGAGAGGAGCTGACATTCATGGTACTCTATGGAGAAGGTATGTTATAGAGCAGCACAAAGAATGTCTATTTTTTTACTCCCATGGGAGCATAAGAATTATCTTAGTTCTCTGGCAAGCCACAGAAACTGATATGATCCACAGTGTTTGCTGTGTGAGGTTTGCAAAACTAATAATTTCAGTTCCCTTTTCTATCTTTTGGATTTGTATGTTGCCTGGGGCTGCTCTAATGTAGACAGTTGTCCTTTGGAACTAGGTGGTTTTGTTTGTAATTGTGCTCTAAGTGGGGAAAACCTAGAAGTCCTTGTGTTTTGAGTAAATGATGGTTCACTTTTAACAAGTCAAAAAGCTTCGCTTTCCAGAATGCATGATGAGATGCCTGCGTTTTTCCTTAAAATACTATGGCAAAGTGAGTTTGTGCTGTATGTTAGTTACTATGTCTTCTTTTTCTCTTATGTTTAGATCTCTTTCACTGATAGAGTAGCGTAAAAAAGCTTTATTTTAGTTATACACCTTTTAAAATTACTCAAATGTTAACAGTGTTTCTGCTTTGCTTCTTGTGCTGAAAGTGACAATTATAACATAAAGATTATAACCTCTCGTAACCTGAAGACTATTAAA